AAAAAAAAATCACAGTATCTATGTAATACATCAGCATTGCTCATCAACAAAAGAATTAACATAATATATTGTTATTTAGAAATTAAAACAAAAAAACAAAATACTCTAGGGGGACGCTTGCAAACCCAAGAATTTTATCAGAGTTCAATTACTCACAACACCCATACATAAATTTGAAGAGTGTACCATTTACTCAATACACTCAACCCAATTTCCAAAATTAAGCTTTTTTTTCAGTGTTGCTAAACGAACCCTAAATTGTCTCATTTTCTTATCGTCCTAATTCTATCGCGTTGATTTAGATTTCTTAGAAATGTTTATGCCATGTCATGTTACCCTCATTTGTGTTTGTTCCTTTTCAAATGGTGATACTACATGGTTGACCAAAAAAAAACCCCCATAACAGGTTAAGAAATTGTGAATACGACTTTATTTTTTAGGCATGGATCTGAAGTCCCATATGAAGACGACTTTATTTTGATTTTTCAAAGTCTTTGTTTAGTATTTTGTTCAGTTCTTACTTCTGCTATTGTTTTTTTTTGTTTTTTGGATACAATGCTTCTCATCACGTGTGTTGATGAGAAGGTTCACAATAATTTTACACTGAATTAAAAAATTTATCTCGTTTACTTGATAATTAAAAATTTTAATTTTAAGCCAGCTCTTGTTTTAGTTTTATTAAAATACATCTAGGTCTCTGTGACTAGATTAACTTTTTTTTTTTTTTGGTGAGATGGGGGGGAAAAGCCCCAAGAAAACTACACAACAGCAATAATGCGGGTTCTATGGACTCCCATCAGGTCCTCCTCTAGGTGAGTCCCTATCCATCTAGGAATGTCAGCAAAGTAAACAAATCCCAAATCAAAGTTGAAGCTCCCCTTAGCCAAGCAGTCTGCAACCATGTTCTTCTCTCTGTAAACATGCTTCACCACACAATTATCAATTTGATTTATAAGCTCCCAACAGCTGGTTAGCAAAGTAGCTAGTGGGTGTAGACCAAGTATATTGGAATTCTGAAATAGTAGGACTGCTGTAGCAGAATCCATTTCAACAATCAAGTTGTTGATTTCCTTTTGCACAGCGAGTTTTAGGCCAAAGAACAGTCCCCAGATCTCAGCTTCTAGTATCTGACCTTTCCCAAGGTTGATTGCAAACCCCCCAGTCCAGTTGCCAAGTTCATCTCTTATCACTCCTCCAGCACCAATGGAGCCAGAAGCACATTTATACGAGCCGTCAACATTAAGCTTGAGGTAGCCAGGGGGAGGGGGTTCCCAAGCAAGAGTAACTTGGTAGTTGCTAGTAGTTTTTGTATTGGCTGAGCTAGCTGTAGACCATTCTTGGGTTGCTTTAAGAATCACTGCCCTGGAGTCAAAGGGCAGGTCCTCCTCTTTGCCAAACACTCTTATATTTCGCCATTTCCAAATGTACCAACAAGTATAGGCAAAGGCAACATTCCACGGGGTCTCATCCTGCCACTTTGAATTAGTTGTTAAACTAATTCTCAACCATGGCTGAAAGTCCATCTGAAAGAAATGGAGAGCTTGGTTTCGATTGAGGATTAAATTCCACACACTTTTGGCCTTGGTACAGTCACGCAACATATGTAAAGTAGATTCATTATGCCATCCACAAATACTACAGGAAGGGTCAGTCGTTAATCTTCTTCTTGCACGTTGCTCATTGGATAGTATTTTATCTCTAGACATAAGCCAAACAAAGAACTGCATTTTTGGAGGAATTTTGAGCCCCTATATGAACTTCCATCTGTCATCAGGCCACTCAGATGGATGGAACAGCAAATTATAGGCTGACTTCACAGAGAAAATCCCATTAGCAGTAGGCTTCCATATTTGTATATCTGGAGTATTGCCTATGAAATCAACAGGAGTATTAATGATCTTTTGTACAATTTCCTCCCCAGCGAAGTTTAACAATGTCCCACCAACCCTCCTTGGAGAAACTAGAAACAGGGCAGTGTAGCTCAGTTACTGGAGAATCTCCAGTGTAATGAATTAAGGCCTCATCAGTAATCCATTTATCTTTCCAAAACTTCACTTGGTCCCCCTTACCAATTCTCCAATTCATACCTTTTGCCAGCAGATCAGCACCATATAGAATACCTTTCCAACTGGAGGAAGACTCAGGTTTAGGCACCATAGTAGGATCCATAATTGATCTTCCCTTTAGGTATTTAGCCTCATAAATTTTAGCCCACAAGCCTTCATCTTTATTTTGAATCCTCCACCCAATTTTAGCTAATAAACTCTGATTCATATGGGTGGTCTTCTTAAATCCCATCCCTCCTTTGCTTTTGGGAATGCATGCTAAGTCCCATTGGCAAAGATGGATTTTACGTTTCTTCTCACTAGCTCCCCAAAAGAAATTGCGGTTAAGCTTGTCAAGGTGCTCACACACACTTGCAGGAAGTTTCACCGTTTGCATGGAGTAGACTGGGATAGAGGCAGTGACAGCTTTAATCAAGGTTGCTCTTCCAGCAAGGGATAGGAGTTTTCCTTTCCAAGAAGCAAGTCTTGCATGAACTCGTGCAATAAGACCATCAAAGGTAGCCTTAATTGGCCTAGAATGTAGTAAGGGCATGCCCAGATACTTGCCAAGATTATTAGTCAAAGGAGACCCACATATGGCACTGATTTCATTAGCTATGCCCTGGGGAGTGTTTGGAGAGCAGAAAATGACAGATTTATCAAAATTAACAGATTCACCTGAGATTTGGCAGAAAGTCTCCAAGCACTTTTTCATTACCTTAGCTTGTTTAGAATTGGCTTCAGCAAAGAAGATAAGATCATCAGCAAAGAAAAGGTGTGACACAGTTGGCCCAGATTGAGAGGATTTAACCGGTTTCCATGAGCCTCTGTGGACAGCATCAAAAATTATGTGGGATAATTTTTCAATGCACAATACAAATAAGTAAGGAGAGAGCGGGTCCCCTTGTCTTATGCCATTCTTTGGAACAAAATTATCAGTTAACTCCCCATTGATGCATATTTGGTAGTTGACAGAAGTAACACAGCTCATAATAAGTTGGGTGAGCGTATCAGGCAGCCCCAGTTCAATAAGCACACGCTGAATAAAATCCCAACTCAGCCTATCGTAAGCCTTTGAGAGATCAATTTTCCAAGCGATGAAACCTTTCTTTCCTTTAGAAACTTTGAATTTGTGCATAAGTTCTTGAGCAATGAGGATGTTGTCAGTTATGTGTCGTCCAGGAACAAAGCTGACTTGGTTAGGGCTGATCAAGTTGGGCAGGATAGGCCTCAGTCTTGCAACAATAATTTTGGATATAACTTTGTACAAAGTAGAGCAAAGGCTAATTGGTCTAAATTGTACCATGCTTTGAGGATTGTCCACTTTAGGCACAAGTGTAATCAAGGTCTTGTTGAGGTTATCTGGCACTCGGCAGCTGTGGAAGGTATTCACCACTAAGTTAAAGATATCAGTGTCACAAGTCTTCCACTGGTTTTGGTAGAAACAAGCAGGAAATCCATCAATTCCAGGGGCTTTCAAGCTGCCAATATTGAAAAGACTCACCTTAACTTCCTCCAAATCAATAGCTTTAACAAGAGAGTTCATTCCTTCAGTAGGTATACCAGGGAAAAGCGTAGGTATGGAGCTGTTGGTAGCATGATTGGGAGTTGCAGTAAAGAGGTCTAGGAAATGCTCAACAGCCATGGCTTTGATGCCCTCGGCCTCCTCAACCCACGTACCGTCATTTTTCTTTAGTCTTTCAATTCGATTCCTCCTTCTTCGGATTACAGTAGTCAAGTGGAAAAATTTGGTATTTCTATCCCCTTTTTGTATCCAGTTTATGACTAGATTAACTTTAATTTCGTAATATATAATATCCTCCACATGCATTATGGGCCAATTGCAGCCAATAGCTGCAATATTCATAGGCTGGGTTAAACTTTGAGCCCAACTTATAATTGATATTTTGACCAAAAAAATTAAAATTAATATCACACAACTTGCCCCAATAGCTTAGACTTTCTTTTTCACATAAGATTCACTTTGCTTGATTTCTGCTCAACACTCAAGAAGAATCATTTGTTAGCCATAACTAGGAAATAAATCAAAGACTTGGTTCCAAGTTCCAAGTTGCCATTGCCACACACAACTTGGTTCTCATTGTGTGCAATTGGTCTTGGCTATGCCTTGGACACGACAGGCTAATGGTTTTGAAAAGAGTCCAGGTACTGCGCCCGCTAATTAATGGATTTATGAAAATTTGACACTCGATCTTTCAGGTATTGAGCTGCTGGAAAGTGGTGTTGGACTGGGAGGTTTAAAGACTTCCATTTCATGCATGCTTCATAGTGGTGTTGAAAACTTGAAATTTCTTGGTTTTGGTTAGTTGTGGCTTGTGGTGAATGCAGACATGGAAAATATAGTATAGTTTGGAGCAAACGATGTGTATTCCTTTGCAAGAACCAAAGAAGAAACAGAGTTCAGATAAGGAAAAAAAACAAATGGAGAAGAAACAGAATGATTTTAATAGCTGCTAATCTCATAAATTAACTACCTACACCCCTCTTATTTGAAAAGTTCAAAAATAGAAAATCTCACATGACACCCTTTTGAGCACCGAATGCCTCATCACTGAGATTTCTTCCAATCCGAAAACCAGTGGGATTCTTTTTCTTCGATTATTTTCTCTCTTCCCTTTCTCCTAAAGATTAGCACGAATGTGAGTATGTGATACATAAGGATGTTTTATGTCAATGCATTTCAATTAACAACGGATGACTCTTGAAGGGAGACCTCGAATATAGACGGTTTTGATAATTGAAATGCATTGACATACAACATCGTTCTCATGCGATAGCAAGAAAGTAATTATTAAATTATGAGAACTTTTTTGTTGGGTCAGAATATTAAATTATGAGACTAATTAGCTAGTGAGGGCTAATAGTCCCTTCCACATGCATTATGCCAACTGCAGCCAATAGCTGCAGTGTTCAATGTTACAGTTCACACACATCACACAAATTTAATACTGGATTAAAATTTGAGGAACCAACTTATAATATAAGGCTACTAAATCACAGATGAAAAATAATAATACAAGCACTGCATAATACAACCAATCTATGTGGATAAGCAAATTTAATTCCCGTGAGTCACAAAGATCCCTGCTAACTGCTAAGAGAAGAAGCAGGCATTGCAGATCCTTTTCACTGCACAATCCACTTAGCTCTAGCTTGGCCCTGTGAAATTTGAAACTGTTCTGTTATACCAAGATGTGCCATAAGAAACCAGACATGAGTGAGCAGCTCTCCACCATGCCTGAGTTGCTGAGCATGCTGACTCCGTGGACATTGACTTGCAGCATAAGATAACATTTCCACCCACACATGACTTATCAACTTCCACTTCTTTTGATTGTCCCATTCCTCCTCTGTTTCCAGCCTTTGCAAATCTTTAGCAAGCCTGCATGCATCGAATAGCACCGACTTGCTTCGATCTCCTTTTATTTTTGCTGGAAGAATGTCAGTGCTCACATCAAGCAACTCTTCTCTAGCCTCTTTGCTAGCCTCTTTAGCTCCTTTGAATTTTGTTTCTTTGAAGAATACCATGGCTTCGGCGCATGTGTCTTGAAACCTGATTTGTCCAATCCCATTGGGTAGCATGAAGGGACACATTACTAGAAGGTACAACATATATTCTGATAGCAACTTGCTGTTTATACAATTCTGATGCTTGACAGAATTTTGGTCTTCCATATCATCAGAATAGTAACAGAGGTCTGTTGCAATATGCCAAATAAGAATGCTTTTATCAATTTCTTCTCCAATACTCCAGCCAAATTCATTAATACGATTCTTGTTTTTAAGAACCCAGTCACCCTTATGAGCACATAATCTCTTGTAATCCTCAAGTGTTTTGGCCCTCTCTGATTTCTCTAGAAGCTGTTGAAATATCATTTCTTTCAACTCTGGACAAACTTTCTCCAAGTCCATGTAGAGATGCTTCTTGAATTTCTTATATATCTTCCCCTTTTTATACATCGGGACGTTGTGGAGAAAACTGCACTGGACAGGCTCATCTTCAAGGCAAAATCTGATTAAGTTGTATTGTTTCATGGAATTAGACCACTTCTTCTTGGTCTCAGCTGAGGAAATGGACAAAATGACTGGATGCAGCAATTTTGCTGCTTTCTTGTTCTTACTCAGCCATAGCCTTGTCCAATCTGAGCACAGTAGTGAAACTACAGCTTGGATCTCTAGGGTGATAGCTCCAGCAAGCAATATGTAAGTGATAATTATATTTTCTTCCGAGTAAGCTTGCTTCTCAATGACAAAGAAGATCACAGAAACAAAAATTATGCAAACGAAACTGATGAAACGAAGAATGGCGCCCTTGACAGAATAAACCAGGACTGCCTTTGTATAAAATACATCATACATAAACCCAAGCTCAATCTCAATCACTTCGAAAGCTTCACCATAAGATCTGCTCTTGAAGAAGGATTTGCTGTTCTCAATGTCATGGATGCTGAGGATGAGATCAGCGAATAGGGCCTTGAAAATGCTGAAGAAAACATGGGCTTCTTGCAGATTGGCTGCACCATCAAAGATGCCTTCTTGTGATGTATTTGAATGGTAACCCACTTTGGGAGTTTCAATGACACTCCCCAACTCAACCTTGTACCCTTGAACTTGCTTGGAGCGGAATTCGTTCATATATCTTGCGTAATTGGGGCCGGGGTCAGGAGGAGGAAACATAGATTCTCTAAAATTATCACTGCTTGCAGACCTCAGAACCCAAGTCCTTTCTCCAAACTTGATAATCCCAGCCACAAACATTGGAATAGCTAGCAAGTTAAGCACATGACCACCCAAGGAACTAAAAAAGATATAGATAGCCACTCCCACCTGGACAAGTAGCACAAGAAAGTGCCTCCACCATAACTCGTTGTCTTCCAAAGAGGACGCGGTGATGGTGTCCGGTCCACCAAGGTGGAGGAGAAGAAAGGGAGCCCAAAATGCTTTAATGATGTGGTCTAGTTCTTTAGAATTTCCATCTTCTTGTGTTGAACTGCTGGAAAGTATACTGAGGGAGAGTGTTGCAAGCCAGTCTGCAGACAAGTAGGCGAGCCACAGAACGAATCTGAGCCAGTTGCTAGTTGAATGCTTTCTCCTGTTGCCTAATCTGATTAGACCAGCTTGTAAGATGAGGCTAAGTAGCACCGTGGCGCGGATTTCCCACAAGTTCCATGCTATTCTCAGACTGTCTGGGAATATCTGCACCAGCTTCCTCTTCTTTGCAAAGATAAAACTGCTAACAACTGAAAAATGAAATTGTCATTATTAAGTTTGGTTTGTCCATTATGCTATGTGAACTATAAACAACAGATTCCCAGAAACTGAAATAAAGGCAAGTTAGATGTGCATTAATTGGTAATCTTACTTGTAATTGACATGGAAGCTTTCTAGTACCCACTTCAAGATTTCGGGATGGCTCAGCTGAGGCAGACTTGGAGTTTAAGTTAGTTTCAATCCTCCCTGATTGACAGAGATCGTACAAAGCTTGGAAGAAGAAAAAAACTCTTATTGTTGGTTTTCTGGTCTTCTAGTTTTAATATATTTATCAATGTCTGCAATTATCAATGTCAAGTATAAATTTTTGGCTTAATTACACTAATGCCCCATGAAACTTTGATCAAATCCCACTTTGCTCCCCCAAACTCAAAATGAGCCACTTTCATCCCTTGACCGAGGTTTGTTGACCCAATTTGCCCCATGCCATTAACTCCGTCCAAAGGTCTGTTAACTTTGATGATGTGATAGGGGCATTTTTGTCATTTCATATACATGGGTCATTATCCAGCAATCTTGGTGATGTGGCAAGGTGGAACCCACCTCCACATAGATAAAAACATAATTAAATATTCTAAGATTAAGGCTTTTTTATTACAAATATATTTTAAATACTTTAATACACATTGTAAAAATAAAATTAATTAAAACTTAAAAATAAAATTTTATATAAAATAAAAAACCCTGCAACCATCCCTCTACTCCGTCTCCCCTACCACTCAGCTACAGGTGGATCTACGTATGGGCTGGAGTGGGCTCCATGAATTTTTAGAATATACAACTTAGGCTAAGTTGTCCAAGCCCAAACTAGGTAAATCAAATATTAGCCTACACCTCTGTGTAGAAATAAGCCCACCTCTGTATAATCCCAGCCGTTGGATTGATTGTAATCTATGTGATGCAACTTTGGAGCCCGTGTGATGCATTTTTATAATAAATATAAATACTTTTTTATATAATAAATATTGTTGATATGTGCTTATGTTGGCCTCACAACATCCCAAAGCAAGGCTCCATGTACTCCATAAAGGTAATATAATGGATTGTTTATTATAAAGGTAAATGATAATTTCCTCTTTGTCCTGCTCCATTTTGTCTATTGCAACTCATTGTTTTCCTATAAATTGTTTTTTCTTTCATGAAAACCTTTAAATTGTTTGCTGAAGATTAAAGATACAAATATAAGCATGAGGTTCTGGTTTTTTCTCTATAATTCTTTTTATGCTATAATCTTTCTTCTGCTCAATCCATATTGTTATGATGGTATCAGAGCTCATCCCGATACTTCTATAATTTCTCATATCTTTCTTTAATTTCTACTTTCTGAAGCTTCATTCTGAATTTAGGCACGAAGCCTTTACTAAATTTCTGAACTTTTCAATTTCTTTGAAATTCTTCTGTGTTCCTTTTTGAATTTCTGGTTCTTTTAAGTTACTTTTGCTTCCTAAAGCTTGGCTTATATGATGATGGTTACCCATAACCACTGTTATATGGGTAAAAAACATAACCACCATTATAATAGATATTGCCCAAAAAAAAAAAAATTTGCCCACCTCCATTAAAATTCACGGATCCGCCATTGCACCCAGCCCTGACGTTCCCTCCTACTATCCCCGACGCAGAGACATTGAAATAAACCCATAAAAAGAAACCCGATACTTTTTCCAACATTCCCATCTCAAAAACCCCAAGATTAAAAATGAAAATCTTTGCCCATAAATGATAGGTAAGAAAGAGCTGATAATTCCATGCAATTTTCCAACTGGGTCATTGAGATTTATGCCATATTCACAACCTCATCATTACGGCCACTATAGGCAAAGACAATTTGTAGAGACTTCGTGCCAACCAATCAACAATCAATCTTTAAACAATAAAGAATATAGGCTTCATGCCTTCAATTTGTAAATGATGTGGACCAAAAATCATGGAAAAAGAGGTTTTGTGCCAGAACTGAGATTGCATCGCCATGGCAGAGAACTAATACAATCCTCCACCACCAACCCACTCTCCCAAATCTGCCTTATAGAACTAAAGGTACAATCTTGTAAATAATAAAAGAAAAATAACCAAAAAAATACATAACAAGAAAATTAAAAAAGAAAAAAAATAGCCGTGTTAGATCATAGATGGAATTGGAAGAAGCAATCAAACGACTAATGAAGAAGACAAAGAAGAGTGTTTTTTTGGAGACGTTGAGACTTTGAGAGTTTGTTCATTTTGAATTCAATTGTTGCATTTTCACAAACACCACCAAGGCAACAACCAATAATCAACCCTACCCAGCGCAATGGTTCCTTACTTTGAATAGAGACTCAGAGATGAAGTCATCTACCTCCACTCGCTCTCGCACCAAGGCCCCCCCACCTCCTCTAAACCAACAACCCCAACCCCAATTCATATCCCAATCCCAAATCCAAGCCTACCAACGCCTCAAACAGGAAGAGATGAAATAGAAAGGTCTAACAAGAAGAAGCCCTCGCAACCCCTACTGTTGTGGATGGGGAAGGGGGATGGGTGTGGGTGGGAGGATTGGAGCGACTGGGGTAGGGTTCCACCTTGCCACATCACCAAGATTGCTGGATAATGGCCCATGTGTACGAAATTACAAAAACCCACATGTCATGTCATCAAAGTTAACAGACTTAATGGAGTTGATGACATGGGGTAAAGTGGGTCACAGTGGGTCACCAAACCTCAGTCAAGGGATGAAACTGGGCCATTTTGAGTAACATTCTGGATTTGATTCTAGAAAAGTTGATCCCAATCTCTGACTATATCCGATTTAGTGCGTTTGCAAGCATTGGCAATCAGTCGCTTTACAACGCAAGAAGTAGCGCATCAAATCATGTCACAAGCAGATTACTATGCTCATAATTCCCACCATAGACGATAGCAGCGAAAGGCGTGGCTTGTATAGTGTGACACAAGGTAAGACTTGCAGCTTTGAGTTGCATGTGCCTTACAATAAAAGGCTCTGCGGTTCTTCCCACGGTTGGTTGGCCTTTGTGGATGAGAATCTGGTAGTTACCCTCTTAAACCCTTTTACCGGGTGTACCATTAGCCTTCCACCAGTCGTCAAATCCACTTGGAGATCGACGGTAGCTTATAGATGTGATTACTACATTAATAAAGTTGTATTGTCTGCAAACCCTTCTTTTCTTAATAGAATATGAAATATTTTGTTTGACAATAATATCATACAAGTTCAAGCCTTTTGGTAACAGATTAGTAATTAAAGTATCATCACTCTGCATATGATTTGGTAACATCTAGTGAAAGTTGGTCAGGAAAATTGGAGCTTTAGTTGTTGAAAGTCAACTGTTAGAAGCATATGAAGAGCTATTTCCCTCCACAAATGAATGTAACTTCGATTTTTCAACAAACCATTTTCTGAATTTCTAGGGCGAAAGAAGGCTAGCCATTTTGCCTAAAATTCACTGGAAAAAAAAAACAAATTTTATATCTTAACTTCTTAAGTTTATTTTCTTATATAGGCTAAGGGGAGGGCACCCTTTGGTTTGATTCAGTTTAGAGCTTAATTTGTAAACTGAACCAATTATGTGGTAATAATTTGGCAAAAGCATATCTAGTCGAGTGTAATAATTCAAGCATAAAGGTTGTCCGTCATAAGGGAACTCCACTCATAGTCACACTGTCTCACACAAGACCAAGGAAATTTCACCCTAATTCCTTTTCATTGTTTTCAAGCCCAAAATTATTTGGCTAAACACCTACTTGTTTTTTTAGCTTTAAAATACTAATTGGTAGACATAGGCTTAATTAAGTTGGCTAAAACGGATGTGCTCCCTAGAATATCGCTTGTATAAAAATAAAAATAAAACTAATTTTCAATGTGACTTTTCAGTGTAACAATTTAACAACGTTTCATATCTCAATAAAGAGGCAATAAAAAATTAATTTTGAGTATTTAACTCAATTTTTCAACCAACGCTTTGCTTTTATTTCCTTTGCCCCGCACCAAAAACATTAAAGATTGCTGTTAAACGAACTCTAAAATTAATTGGGTATACCCTATGATCTAAATACACTCTAATATTTTAATCAAAATGTAAAATTAACTAAGTACACCCTATTTGAACTACCAAAAATACCCCTAGTACACCCTAATACACTCTATCACACAACACCCTAAGGCCACCTCCAACGCAAGGGTCTGGTCAGGGCAAAAGGCAGCCTCAGACCCCAAACCCCCCTCCAGCGCGCAAGATCCAGCACCAACAAGGGGTGGGACCCACCAGCCCGAGCAAGCCCACAGGCAAGAATCAAATGGGCTGTAGCTCGAAGGCTGCTGCCGTAAGCGCTGACCCACAGTTGCCAGAAACCAACGGCTACAAGCCACGTGGCTTCTCCTGGAGCCTCTGATCCAAAAATCTTATAAAATCCAACGGCTGTCCAATTTTTGGCTTTAAAAAATTGTAAAAAATATCCAAAAATTTTGGAATTTTTTTCTATAAAAACCTACCAATATTATTCACTTTCCACACCAAATTTTCTACTACAAAATTCCATTTGTGCAAAAATACAAATGGCCTCTTCCATCGAAGCCAAAGGGTCGTGGACAAACGTTCGAAGTGGTCAAAATCTTGGTTACGAGGTAAAAATAAAATAAAAAATTAATTGCCGTTTTATTCAATTTAATGTCATTTTTTTATATTTCTTGCATTTCCAATTTCATTTTTTTAATAGATTATTCATGGAAAAACAAAAAGGAAGAAAACCATTACACATGGCTCCTTAAGTGAACAATGCCCACAGTCGATTCCAGTGGTGCGTTCCGTGTCATAAATAATGGCACGTCCTCCAAAGGAAAAAATACTCCCCCACGTCGTGATCCGATGGAACTGCCTCCGCCAATGATTGAGTCGTCCTTGTACTGGATTGTGTCGGATTGTAAGGACGGGGAGTATTTCAATTGTATGATGAGTGAGTAGGTATTAATGATGAGTGAGATGTGAATTTTATAATAAATATGGACACATGGCAACCGAAAATCTTATTCGAAAATTTAATCCTAAAATTTAATCGGAAAATCTTATACGAAAATTTTATCTGAAATTTGAGATGAGAATTTTATAATAAATAGTGACACGTGGCAACCGAAAATTTTATTCAAAAATCTTATCAAAATTAATGGTTTAAGTATAAAAAATAGAAAATAAATTAAAGTGAATAGTAATTGCCCTCACCCTTGCCCTATGGGGTGGAAACGAAAAAGGCAAGGCTGCCACTATTCACG